AGGGATAAAAAAAGGCTGGATAGTTACATTGTTCATTCCTTCCCATTCGCTGGCATAGTTCTCAACTATCTGTAAAACTGGTCTGCTCACCAAAATAAATGGCCTGATTTTTGAGGATATGTCGTCCTAACAAAAGAAAAAAATACTTTAATTTTTTGCAAGTAAAGAGAGAGGTTTTACTAAAAGGTGTGTGCCAACTGTGTTATATGGCAAAATAGGTCTCAGCTGTTAACTTTATCTTTATTACTTTGTTCTTTATTAAGTGTTTGTGTTGCTTTTAAATATACCTTTGTGTGGGAAGAAGTTGTATGAGTAATTTGAGAAGGCGCACAAGAAACTGTTGCACATTAAGAGGCATGGACTCCGACTGTGGTGAATCGAAGACAACTTTATTAAAAGCTAGGCAAGCTTTTATACCCTCTAGATGGCTGACACAGCAGCCTATAGTTAAGCTTCAGTACTTTTCTGTTGTTACACAAAAATAGCTTACACGTGATTAGCAACTTTCTTATCTGAAAGGTCAGGGGTTAACTGCTAACAGACATCTGGGTACACAAAACTACAACGTTCTGGCATCTTATCCTGTGTTCTACTGTTTTGCTCCCATGGTTTTCTTCCAACAAGCATAATTGTGTCTCTTTCCCAGGGTCGTTCTTCACTTGCTGAGGCAGCTAAACTCGTTTCAGAGATATCCACATCTCCCCCTTCTGTATTTATAAAAAAAACTTGTTTCAAAGCTCGATCTATCAAACTTTGTACACATCATAAGAAACATGGTACACAAATCAAAATGCAAACAAAAATAACTAAACATCCTAATCCCTTTTGCAACAGTCCACGTAGCCATCTCGACATTCCTGTAAAAAGACCCTTAAAGATATTAAATCCATCACTTTGTCATAGTTTCTGTACTTGATCACGTAAAACATCAATACTCCTGTGAATAGATTCTGAATGGTCAGACAAGTTCATGCAACAGAGTCTGTCAAAATCTTGACAACCATGACCTTGAGGAAGCAATAAAAAAATCTGTGGCTGCTCTGTTTTGAAGTGTCATGTGTCTAATTGAATCAACATCTAACAATAGTCCACTCAAAGCCAGAGAGGTTGCATTGGTTTGTTTTGCTAAACAACAGCCAAGTTTATTTAAAGTAGCCAGTGCCTGAGCTGCAGCAACTCCAGATGCTAACACAGATGCTTCTATAATTTCACTAGTACTCCAAAATTCTGTATCATCCTTACAATCAGAAGTAAAGACATGCATGGCTCTTTTTTGGTGTTTTACCTTCCTCAATTTGTGAGTAATGATCATGGATGTATTAGGTGTTAATAGGCTTACTCTACCTATGCTACAGGGCCCTTCTTTTGCATATGATGGAATTCCAGGCCATGCATAGTCTCCACAAATCAAAAACAATCCTGGAGGTAATTTGAGTGGGTGATTGTTGATCTTGATACATTTCTACTAGTATAATTACACCATAAGCTAGCATTTCTGAAAGCTCCTATTGTTGCATTTAGCCATTGACTCATTGATTGATTTTTTTTCCCCGTATAATTGAAATATAAATAATAATCCATTTTTATAGCACCTAACAGATCTAATTCTTGTGGTTCTAGTTTGCTAGTCGGCAGGTATGAGGCCCAACCATCCCAGTTATCAACCATAGTGTAATCAAAGGATATCACACTTTGCTGAGCTTGTGGGATGGGCCACTGATCTGCTTCTATGGGTTGACCCACCAAACAGGTTGTAAAAGGATTCTCTGGAGCAGCAGTCGACAAACATGGCATATCTTGTCCTGTTTTGTTTGCCAAGGTCACCCAAATGTTTGTCTTAGGTTGAGGCGGTATCCATACTGCTAATGCAGTTGTTATCATGTAGGTGATAATGGTGGTTGTGAGACAGATGGCTTGATCCACCGTGCAGGTACCCATCTTGGGCCGGAACCTGTGGAAACACAAGCATATCCTCTACCCCAGGTTATTAGAGGGAAAGGTCCTTCCCATTGATTTGTCTGTAAATTTTTTACCATCACTAAAGCTTTATTATTGATTTCAGGATGGGTTTGTGAATTAAAATGTCGTAGTGTAGGAGGCCCATCCTCTGTCCATTGATTTAAAAAATTCAAAACATAACAGGCTTTTGCTACTCGTTCTTGTGGGGATAACTCTTGGCTCCCCCTTTTTTCTTTTTGTAGCATTGTTTTAAGAGTACTATGTGTTCGTTCAGTAATTGCCTGTCCTGTGGGTGAGTGAGGAATGCCTGTAACATGTTTTATTCCCCATTGCTGGAAAAACATCTGTGTTTTATGTGCTGTATAGCCTGGGCCATTATCTATTTTTATGGTTGTTGGAACTCCCAAGGTTGCAAAGCGTAGACACATATCTTTAGATTTTTCGCCTGTGTGTACTGAGGCATAAAGGCAGGAAGAAAAGGTATCAATTGACACATGGACATGTTTAAAACTACCAAATTCTGCTATTTGAGTAACGTCTGTCTGCCAAATTTCAAGTGAGGACAATCCTTGTGGATTAATTCCAGCTGAGGGTGTAGGTAAAACATGCTGACAATCAGAGCATGATTTGCACAATTTGTCTAGCTTGGTCTTGTGTTAATTGAAATGACCTTTGCAAGGCTTTTGCATTTTGATAATAAAAGTCATGAGACAGACGGGTTTGCGCAAAATGATCTGGTAATACTGCAGCGCCTGTAACACGGTCTGCTTCATTATTTCCCTCACTGATAGGTCTTGGCAGAGAGGTATGTGAACGAACATGTTGGATGAAGTATGGCTGTGTTCTTCTATCAAGAAGCCATTTAAGTTCCCAGAGAAGTGTAAATAGCCTTTCATTTGATATTTCTTTTAAAAATGAGTATTCAAGTCTGGAAACAAGACCTGCAACATAAGCAGAGTCTGTTATGTTAATTGGAATAGGCCATTTTTTGAAGACACGGACTACCGCAAACAGTTCAGCTATTTGTGGTGAACCCATGACCACATGTATGTCACTATCCCATTGACCTGTTTCATTTCGCCAAACAATCACAGTTTGTCCCGTTTTTCCAGACCCATCAGTGAATACAGTAAGAGCATTAGTTATGGGCATAATAGCCATTTGTGAGGTAGGCAATAGTGAAAGTGAGTTTAAAGATTGTATTATTTTGTGTCCTGGAAAGTGAATACTTATCTGTCCTGTATAATCCGCCAAAGTGCACTGAAAAGCAAAGGATTGGTGAGTTAAAAAGGTCAATTGTTTTGTATCAAGAGGTAAATAGATCTTGTCTGGTTCTGTACCGTCCAAAGTTATTAAACACTCCCTCCCCTTTTAAATGACCAGGGCTATCATCTCAATAGCCGTGGTAACTGTCTTTCCAAAATTATGGGGTAGAAAAATCCATTCTATAACAATCAATGGATTTATATCCTGTGGAATCCATTGTATTAATAAGCCATAGGGTTGAAAAGTAGACTAAAAACCAAAAAGACTAATCAGATAATAATTTAGTTTTTGCCTATTGGCGGCCTGATTGGTCAATTTTTCTACTGCTTTGTTAAGAGCAGCTTCTGCTGGGGGAGTGAGTTTCCTGGGAGATGTTAAATCTATATCTCCTTCTAAAAGTTTAAAAAGGGGGTGTAGTTCTTCCGTAGAAATTCCCAGAAGAGGACGGACCCAATTTATGGTCCCCAACAGTTTCTGGAGATCATTCAAAGTTTTAATGTCTGTTTGTAAGGTTATTCGTTGTGGTTGAACAAGTTGATCTGAAATTTTCCAGCCTAAATACTGCCAAGGTGGTATTTCCTGTATTTTGTCTTTTGCAATTTTGAGTCCTGCGTTTAGGGCTGCTTGCATAATTCGTTGCTGAACTTGTTGTGCTTGCTCTTTTGTGCCGCTATTAAAATATCATCTATGTAGTGATATATAAAAACACCCTCAAAATTCTTTCTTACTGGACTTAAAATGGCCGCAACAAATTGCTGACATAGTGTGGGACTATTTTTCATGCCTTGAGGTAACACTGTCCAGTGGTATCTTTTATGCAGTTCTGCGGCGTTGACAGACGGGACTGAGAACACAAATCGTGGTGCATCCTGAGATGCAAGTGGTATAGTGAAAAAACAGTCCTTTAAGTCAATCACTATAAGAAACCACGTTTGTGGCATCATTGTGTGAGAGGGGAGTCCGGGCTGCAAGGCTCCCATGTCTTCGATGACTTCATTTACTTTTCTCAGGTCATGTAATAACCTCCAAGAATTTTTCTTCTTTTGGATCACAAAAACTGGCGTGTTCCACGGACTTGTGGTAGGAATGATATGGCCAGCTTCCAGCTGTTCATTTACTAGTTTGTGCAGTTGTAGCAGCTTTTCTTTCAGGAGGGGCCACTGATCTACCCACACTGGTGTATCAGTTTTCCAAATCATTGGTGGGACCTGCTGCTGCTGAACAGTGGCCCCTAAGAAAAATCTGTGCTTAGCTGCATGCCCCATTGGCTTAGACAGTCCCTTCCCCAAAGGGTAACAGATCCAGGCAACACAAAATGTCTTATCGTGGCTGTTCTGCCTTCTGGCCCAATGATATTAATGAGTAGTTGGCTTTGTTTGGGTGATGTCTGCCCACTGATTCCCAGTGGGGAGGCGTGAGTGTCCATTAGAGGCCAAGTATCAGGCCACAGAGATGCAGGGATGACTGTAACATTTGTGCCACTGGCTATAATTCCTCGTATGGTGAGTCTCGTTCCTCCTTCTTGTAGAGTACATGATAACTGCGGTTGACTCATTGTGAATTGTTGAGTCCAATAAATTTCAGGCATCCCTGTAGATCCAAAACAGCCTGTGCCTCGCACAACTTGGCTTGCATTTGGTGTCTGGGGCGAAAAATAAACTAATTGTGCGATTTTACTTCCCGCGGGTACGGTACATGGCGGCACCAGAGTCCATGCCATTATTTTAATTTCACCTTCGTAATCGGCATCAATAATTCCGGGTAATACGAAAAGCCCTCTTAATGTTGTGGAAGATCGCCCGACTAATAATGCCGCCATTCTGTGACCTAAAGGTCCATAGGTGCCAGTTGGGTTTAGCACAACTGAGGTGTCACTAATTATTGTTTCTGCTGAGGTGGCCAAGTCCACTCCGGCGCTGCCGGCAGTGCTGGCGCATAAGCGGTGGCAGCTCCTTGAGGGGGACACTCTGAGGGGTGACTTGTCGTAGCGCGACCCTTCCTCATGCTCCGCCTGGGCTTTCCCTGCAAAGTCAGCGGCTGACCGTTTTTGTCAAATTTGGATCGACATTGATTGGCGTAATGTTGTCCTTTATGACAGCGTGGACAAATACCCGGCGCTCCACCCTTATTTGTATTTGCTTTGGGGCAATTTTTTTGAAAATGCCCGTATTGACCACAGGAATAGCATTCTTGCGACTTTACTGTCATTGCCGCAAATGCCTCAGCGAGTAAAGACAATTCATGCTGTCTGGAGCTTATATTCATACATGCAGAAATCATATCAGTGCTAGGGTTTTTCAAAGGTCGTAAAACCTTTTGACAGTCTGGGTTGGCATTTTCAGGTGTAAATTGCTTTAAAATATAGTCCCAAGCAGCTTCAGTCTCGACTTGTTTCTGTAATGCATCATTAAGTCTATCAAAAAATTTCATAAATGTCTTCCCTGGTTCTTGCTTTATACAAACAAAAGGTTGTCTTTGCTTTCCAGCTTCTGCAACACTTTTAAGAGCGCGGAGCGCAAGTTGTTTGACCTGCTGTAAACCTTCGGGAGGAATTCTAGCTTGAGCTGCAGTTGTGCTTTGATCACCCTCCCCCATTAACATATTCACATCAATACCTCGCAAAGGGTTTTGCTGACCCAGCGCCAGATTTTCTGCAGCTTGAGTTCTAGCAAGCTGTCTCATTTTTGATTCGCACATAGTGTATTGCATGTCAGTCATAATAAGCCAAAACATAGTTTCGAAATCACGTGGGGTAAAAACAGAAGTATCACAAAGAAACTGTATCAAATGGGTGGTATATGGAGCACCAAGTCCATGATCAGTTACTGTACGCCTGAGGTCTTTTATGAGGTTATAAGAAAGACCCTCCCAACGTGGTTCTTGTTCAGGAGCATATATTACTGGGAAGGCTCTCAAGATATCCACATCCCCCGCCTGCTTCGCCTCCTTTCTTACTGCTGCCCATTTATCATGAGGGTCTGGGGGATACAAGTCAGGCTCCTTTTCAGGGTCAGTTCGCCCCAGATCAAATGGATCATCCGGATCATCATCAGGATTATTAGGAGATAAAATCACAGAAACACCCTTGCACGAATTTACTCGCCGTCTGACATCACAGTCTGTAGGAGGGGGTGCTGGCGGTGGAGGGGCTGACGGTGGTGTGGGCTTTTCTTGTCCTTCTTCCATCTGAGACCCAACATGCACCTTTAAGGTCTCAAAAATGGTCTGCCAAGAGGGTAACAAACCGGCCGCGATTTTATCATTTCTAGTGGCACAGTCCCAGAGTCTGACCCCAACTTTGTCCCAGATTTTGGGATCATAAATATTATGGCTGTTTATAGAGGGATCATTTTTAGAAGCCCAAATAAGGATTCGTTGTAACTCCTCATTATCCATCTTCTTCCCGTGTTCCTTCAAAATCTTACAAAAAACTTCTAAAACATTCTTTTGCTCTTTTGTTAAATCCGTCCCCATAGTTCTCAGCTGCTTACCTTCGTCCTGCGAGAGGTAATTGAGCGCGCCAGTAACGCTTCGTTGCAGCGTCCGTCTCAAAGTTCAGCTGAGCTACACCACTGGATCGACAGCTAGTTGTTTCATTGCCCCACGTTGGGCGCCATTTGTGGTGTATTAAGAGGTATGGACTCCGACTGTGGTGAATCGAAGACAACTTTATTAAAAGCTAGGCAAGCTTTTATACCCTCTAGACGGCTGACACAGCAGCCTATAGTTAAGCTTCACTACTTTTCTGTTGTTACACAAAAATAGCTCACACATGATTAGCAACTTCCTTATCTAAAAGGTCAGGGGTTAACTGCTAACAGACATCTGGGTACACAAAACTACAACGTTCTGGCATCTTATCCTGTGTTCTACTGTTTTATCTCTTGCTCCCATGGTTTCCTTCCAACAAGCATAATTGTGTCTCTTTCCCAGGATCGTTCTTCACTTGCTGAGGCGGCTAAACTTGTTTCAAAGATATCCGCGAGAAACAAGTCTATGAAAAGCAAATCGATTGTTGAATCAGCCGACCCTTATTTAAAAGTAGGAACATATCTGGGATGATTTGTGGCCCGCTTTTTAAGTCTCATGAGGGCATGAAAACCAATTAAAACCTAAATCTAACCTGTTCTTCGAGAACAAAGGGAAATTTTAAATAGAATGAACAAGGCATATATTATAATACTGCCCTAATTTGAATAGTGGAGTAATTAGTAAATAAGATGACCAGTCATAATAGACAGCAATGTCCCTATTAAAGGACCATGAGGACCTCTTCTGACTCATTATTTCTTCTTCAATATAGGAAGAGTTTTACGTGTAATAGAAAATAGTTTAAAGAACTAATGTTGTGTGTCATTATTGTGGTTTTTTTTTCCTTATGCCCGAGAAAACATCTTCAAAATGTCTTGGGTAACAATTCACAGCTCCTCAGAGTCTGGAGATAACAGTATTTGCTACTTGGCTATTTATGTGCTCGTCACAGATTTCTATTTAGCTGCTGAACTATCAAAGCTTTCGTACTATGTTGCTATGTTGATTTAAGTCACAGTGACTTTATTGTCTTTGTGTAGAACTCTAGGACAGATATGCAATTCTAAATTTATTGCCTTGCGCTCCCTTCTACAACCTCTCCCCAGAGCTCTGCGTTAAAATATTCAGTTCAGCACTTGCAGGATGCATGGTGAATCAGGAAAGGATTACTCATGAATGGAATCCAGATGAAGATATTTAGTTTCTGAAGTTTCTAGGCAAAGTGCCAGAATCATGAAAGTTTTCAAAGGTACCCATAGGTAATTTAAGCCATCACTTTTTGCTGCCAGAAGAATTGTCAGATGATTACTTAATGATTCTATCTTGAATTCCAGTGCCCCAGTGAGCTGTTGAAAATGCCTAACACCCAATAAAAGTACTTTGGAATGTGCAGATGTAGACCCAAAACATATTACCAAAAGCATCTCTAATGTAGATTAAGGCTGGTGGAATATATATAGCTGGGTTGTCCTGGAGAATGTGTAACAAAAGCTTAGGAAGAAAAAAGAATTTTCCATTGTTAGAACAGAGAGAAATACTCTAGGAGACTTGTCACAAAGAATGAAGCAGCAAAAGATGCACACTGATGGGAAGAAGGATTTTGTCATCTACTTTATTATGGATTACTTAAATAATCAAACAACCAAGCTGTAGGAGTTTAGAGATGAAATTCACCAAGTCATCCTCAGGAGAAGCAAGCAGTGGAAGATTAAAACAAAATTTATGAAGAAGTTCTGCCTTGGAAAAAATGCATATTTTCCAGTTCTGCCTATTTTTTGTGTGTTAAATAGGATTCATATTTAATAGTTAGGAAAGCCAATTCAACAGAAGTATTTGACAAAAAAGTACTTGTGCAAATGGGGATTTGCACACCTTGCTCCCCAAGGTAAATACCTACATATTACAAAATATTTCTTTGGGCAAGGCAAGCAGAAAAAGGGGTTTAATTATAAGGCAGAGACTGTGTTATAAGAACTACGTAGTAACATGCTTACTGCCACTTGAAAGTAGCCTGGTGGATGAGCTTGTAAATGATACTCTCAGAGGAACAGCGAAGCAGATGAAGGAGCTGCACTGTTTTGGATCATCACGGTGTGGGCAAAACACAAGTGAGCCTTCCTGAGAGCCACTGAGTCTGGAAGCAGTGCTATGAGAGCATTCCCAGGAGAAGCTAAATGGATTGCTTTTTGGAAAAACCATGTAAGTGACAGAGAAATTGTATGCACTCAGCAGACACTGTAACTGAGCATTTCCTCATTATTGGCTGTGTTCTTTGTTATAGGCAATCTGCAGGATAATTTATTTTGAATGAACAAAAGAACAAAAATCATGCAATAGTTTATTATAAAGCTTTGGAAGTTAAGCAGACAGGAGCTGCAGTAACATTGTTGACCATAGCCATAGCTTTGCACCTTGAACATACTGTTCCTCTAAAATTAGGCAACACATTCATCTCAACTTATCTGATAATATATATTATGAACGCATTATCTTCAACAGTGAACATTTCTCATACATTAAACCAGATTAAAATTAATTAATAAAAATATTTTCACTATCTGGTGAGCTCACACATATGGTACAACATTATCCAGGAACAAGGTGAGAGTAGAGAAGCTGTGTAATGGGAAAGCCTCTGCATTAGAAATATGATGAAAGGGAGGAGGAGATGGTAGCTTCATCATGAATGCAGACAGCATAGGTCTGGAAGCTACGATAATGGACTCTGGATGAA